ATGTTCGATGAAATGCTTGTGAGAAAAAATGGGGTTAGAAATGTAGAGTTGACAAAAACTACTAAGATGAACTAAGTATCATTGTTGAAAGTCACAAACAAAGCTGGAATTATTTTGTATAAATGACATATAATAATTTCTTCGTTTAATCCTTGTGGCTAAAGATTTTCCAACAGATGATCAAATATAATGAAATCCAAACGAGAGTGCATTGATCAAAGAGGCTGAGAGGTGAATGCGCTGTTTGAGATTTCATTATATTTTATCATATGTTGGAAAATCTTTAACCAAAAGGATTAAACGAATAAATTATTACATGCCATTTATACAAAATAATCACAGCTTTGTTGGTGACTTTCAACAATGATACTTAGTTCATCTTAGTAGTATTTGTCAACTCTGCATTTCTAACCCATTTATTTCTCACAAGCATTTCATCGAACATCTATGCTTCACCTGAGATGACATGTATCTAACATTACACCTTGAATCGTTGATGGTCCCGATAGTCCCTTGGTCGGGTCTTCTCTCAATAAACCCTTATTCAAGTCAACACCTCCACATAATTCAAAGTTAGATTAGAATTTCCCATGCATCCCCGACTGAAAAGTTACGCTGAAAACGAGAAGAGAGAAGCGAAAAAAGAAATTTGAGATCGAAAAGGAATTTGGGGGTTTAGAATGAAATTGAGGATTATGTTGTAAGTTTTAAAAGTTGGGGGACCTAAATGCAAGCGCCTGAAAAGTTCAGTGACCATATTGCAAACGTACTAATGACAGTGTAACGGCTTCAAACGGCCGGTTATGTCGGGGACCATATTGCAAACGGACTAAATGTTGGGGACTGTATTGCAAGTTTTAAAAGTTAGGACCTAAATGAAAGCTTTAGAAAAGTTCAGTGACCATTACTATACTTTACCCTAAATAAAATATTTTAAAAAATAATGGAGTAATAAAGAAAGAAAGAAATAAAAGAGGAGGTGGAATCACTGGAGGCAAAAACGGTGAACCAAAACAGGTATGTCATTTCTTGGGTTACCCAGTTTTATCTCTGTTCAAATTCAGCTTTAGCTATCAATACTATACGTTTAAGATGAACATTCGGAACGATAACCAGACTCTTTTACTTGGAATTTCATGTTTTTAGATGTTTTGATTATTGTAGACTATCAGTTATATGGCGGAGCATGTAGTGGGGACAGGATCCTTCGGAATTGTTTTCTAGGTACTGAAACACAGTCAGACTTAGCTGATTGTACCTTCTTGGTATTCACATACTGATCCATCTTTTCTTTCAGGCAAAATGCTTGGAAACTGGAGAGACTGTGACTATAAAGAAAGTTTTGCAAGACAGAAGATTTAGGAATCGGAATTGCAATTGATGCGCGTACTTGATCATCCGAATGTTATTTCCTTGAAACATTGTTTCTTTTCCACCACTAGTAAAAATGAGCTTTTCCTTAACTTGGTTATTGGTTATGGATTATGTACCGGAGAACATGTATAGAGCTTTACATCATTATAAATGCTTTATATCTATGTGAAACTTTACACGTACCAGGTGTGCATGGTACTCTTTTACATGATTTCTTATGTAATGTTCTTCTCTATGCTAAATAGAGGAAGTTTTATAGATATTTAGGGGACTTGCCTACCTCCATAATGCTGTGGGAGTTTGCCATAGGGATTTGAAGCCTCAAAATATTTTGGTATGCTTTTCTTACTGATGAAATTTTTGTACAATGTCTCGACAATGTTTCTGAGAGAGGTTTTGTACAGGTTGATACTTTGATACACCAGGTCAAGATTTGCGATTTTGGAAGTGCAAAAGTACTTGTAAGTTGACCCCTTTGTACTAATATTCGAAGTGCAAAACTGAAACATTTTTATTGGATTCATAAGTTTATAAAACTAGAGTTTTTGCTCTCTTTTTTTCTAATGTTCGACTCTGATTGGAACTTCTAAAGGAATTTGTATGATTGTATCATATGTTATCATCTGCTATTTGTGAAAGGTGCAATGTATTTCTCTTGTACTAGCTTGCAGAATAAGCATATTGATAACACACATTTATGACTCCGTACTGTTGTTCTGCTAAAGCTTCTGTAACCTTTGCCCTTCTTTACATCATTATAAATGCTTTATATCTGAAATTTTAGCTGATCTTGAATCTTTTCTGGCCTGATCCTTCTCAAACGGGCACTTATCCCTTGTTAGCTTTACCGGTTTACCTGTCTTTTACGGCCTCTTTGTAGGTGTGAAGGGCTGAAGAAGAAAAGGATGGTGGGGTGGGGATTGGGTGGGATTTTTTTGTGACACATTTGGAGTCTGCACTACTGCTTTGAAGTTGGATTAGATCAAATATCACTATTAACAAATTAATGGTCCTCTTTTGCTTGTCCTTTTTTAATGTGTAAATTCTTCACACATACTATTAATTTACATGTGACCAGGTCAAAGGTGAAGCTAATATTTCATACATATGTTCTCGTTTCTATCAGGCACCAGAACTTATAAGGTGCCACGGAATACACAAACTCAATTGATATCTGGGTCAGTCGGTTGTGTTCTTGCTGAACTTTTGCTGGGCCAGGTTAGCGTTTGGCCTTTTTTTTTTACTTCTGATTTTTATCTTTTTGAAAATCTCTAGCAATAATTCAGTTCTCTGCTCATTGATAGCTTTTCTTTTTCGTCTGCAGCCATTGTTTCCTGGAAAATGCTGTGGACCAGCTTGTAGAGATTATCAAGGTATGATTTGCTTAGTGATTCTTGAATTTACTTTTCTTTGTATCAAGGGACTGCTTCTTTCATCTTTTCCTGTAGGTCCTAGGTACACCCACTAGGGATGAAATTCGCTGCATGAATCCTAATTACACAGATTTTAGGTTCCCACAGATTAAAGCGCACCCATGGCATAAGGTTTCCTTTTTGTTCTCTTTATGTTTACAAATTGTCTTTGAAGGCACATTTCTTTTCTTAATGCCTTGTGGATATTTTTTGCTCATGGATTTAGGTTTTCCACAAAAGGATGCCTCCTGAAGCAATTGATCTTGCTTCACGACTCTTGCAATACTCACCAAATCTTCGCTGTACAGCTGTAAGTTGCTAGTGTCTACCACTTTGATTGACTGTATTTCCATTTTAGACGTAAGAAATATGCACAACTCTATCGATTAGCGTTTGGCTCCCAAAAAAATAAATTTAGTGATAACCACCCTAACCTCGTGTCATTGTAACATGCTCCTTTCTATCACAGCTTGAAGCATGTGCACATCCCTTTTTTGATGAGCTTCGAGAACCTAATGCTCGGCTACCAAGTGGACGGCTCTTACCACAACTGTTCAACTTTAAACAGGAAGTATGTTTCTGCACTAAGCTTCATCCTCATATACCTTTGAATTTATACAAAGATGAAATACTTTAGGTTGGATTTATTTTCTATCTGAGGTTCTGTTTCATGTTCTCAATCAAGTAGGTATAAAGTTACATGCTCATTCTTTTGGTTACAGTTATCTGAGGCTTCACCTGAGCTTATTAATAAGTTGATTCCGGATCATGTGAAACGGCAAATGGGGCTACAACATTTCATGCATCCAGCTGGAACATAAAAGTTTGGAAGTGATCAGATTTGATCTGTCCTGGTTGATGCCGTGAGACAAGGGAAGTACTATCTCTGGATTACCTTGATTGATTGAGGGCCTGTCCAGCATCATTTTCGACTCTTCCCTGAGGCATACCGTATCTGGAAGCTGGATGGCTACCATCACTTCATCGTTTTACTTGAATTCTACCATCTCAGCGAATATATATAAATATAGCAGAGCCGATTTCTTAAGCCTTTGATGAAACTAGCTGGCAAGTCCCTCAGGGATCATGGCTGCTTGGGCATTGCTATAACACAGCCGAAAGAGGAATGAAGTTAGAACAAATCAGTCTGATACCTTGTGCCGTTTGTTCATTGCTTGGATTGTCGACATGGACGAGTAGAGAAAATGTAACGATTTTTTTGTCAAAACCAGTCAGGAATCCGATTTAACCTTTTCTTGTTCATATGCATATATTAATGTTGAAAGATGTGTACGTAACACCTCAATTTGACTAACTAAATACGATTTTTTCTGATTAAATTATTAATTTTAATCAATTTTAAATAATTTATGATGTTTGGAAGTATTCCATTTGATTTCTTATGAAATTCATTCTTATATAAAATTCTATTTTTTTTAATTTGTTTCTTTCAATTTAATCTTAAAATTATAGAAAAATAGACTAAAGATTTTCACGGTTACTAACAACTTTGACAAAATTGATTTCAACTACTAATATCTTCGGTTGCATTATAAAAAAAAACACTTTTTTCCGAATTAATTTGCTACCATTCCTAAATTTTTAACGTATATTGTTTATTAATCTATGATGATTATAAGTAGTATTATCTATTCTAAAAACTTTGAACTATATGACAATGAACACTAAAATACCTTGTAACTGGTGCTTGACCTCGATACATCTAAGAATAACACACATCCTTTTAATCGTCCATTTACCCTAATTTTTCCTGTTATCTCATATTTATTATAAAATCATGGGTAAACTACATCATATATCACCGAACTTTATGTGTTGTATCGTTTATAACACTGAATTTTAATTTTGTCAATTATATCATTGAACTTTGATTCTCGTTTCAATTATACCAACGAACCATTAAATTATTGACGGTAAGATGACGTGGCTGACGGCTGTTGTCATAGACACTTCACCAAAGCGTCATCGTTTTGATCTTGATGTTAAACATTTAACGACCTAGTGGTATAATTAAAATAAAAATCAAAATTCAATGCTATAATTGATAAAATTAAAAGTTCAATGATATAAACGATATAAAACCTAAAGTTTGATGACATCTGGTTTATTTTACCCTAAAATCATTATCATCCATTGGTTGTTTTCTCTGTTTATCAATTGGAGCCAGAAGGCAAACTAGTAAATTAGAGCATAAAAACCCTAGCCCTAAACTCTTTTAAAACTCCTTTTTTTTTCACGCAGTTGCTTCTTCGTCACTCTGCTACAGCCGCCGCTGCTTTCAACCTCCGTCCCTTTGCCATGGTACATCTTCCTCTTTTCTACATCATTTATCTTACGTGAATGCGTGTCTCAATAACTTTTTGGTTTAAAAGTTTCTTTTCTTGGAACTGTGAAAGGCATCAGAGAAGAAGCTGTCGAACCCAATGAGGGAGATTAAAGTTCAAAAGCTCGTCCTCAATATATCCGTCGGTGAAAGCGGTGATCGTCTAACCCGTGCCGCCAAGGCAAGTAACAAGAATCCCAAAAAGAAAAAACTATTCATTTCCCCCAAATATTTTACCTTCTGTTTATTTCTCTTTATTTTGGTCCTTTTTAGGTCTTAGAACAACTCAGTGGTCAAACCCCCGTCTTCTCCAAGGGTAAAATTCCTGGAAAAAAATGCTGATTTTGAGTTTCCTTTTGTTGGTAGTCGTGGTTAATGAAAATTGAAAATGTTGGTTTTGATATGAGCAGCTAGGTACACTGTGAGATCTTTCGGAATCAGGCGTAATGAGAAGATTGCTTGCTACGTGACGGTGAGGGGAGAGAAGGCTATGCAGCTTCTCGAGAGTGGTTTGAAGGTTAAGGAATATGAGCTTTTGAGGAGGAACTTCAGTGATACTGGCTGCTTTGGATTCGGCATCCAGGAGCACATTGATCTCGGTATCAAGTAAGTTCTATTTTTCGGGCACATCTTTATTAATCTGTGATGTATTGTAATTGAGAATTCTTATGTTGATGCTGCATTGTAGACACTTGATTTCAATTCACTGTTGACACGACCAACTAAATAGAACTAAATTTGGATCCTTTAATAGGTTTAAGTAGTTGGTTTTCATGAATATTTTATGATTAAAATTCTTATACTACTTGAATCGGAACACACGTCTGTATCTTGCAATGATGTTTGGTTTTGGGATTGGGAGTTGGGACTGGTTTTAGGATTTAAGAATGCAGTTGTTTTTCCGGTTAGTCGTCCTTTGAGACAGTTAATTGCCTAAGTTGTGTATTGCTTCGGTTTTCCTGTTAAAGTATATGTGTAGCTTGAAAATTGTTTAATTCCTGGTTTTAGGATTACTTTATTGAATTAGTGGTTAATCCTCGTTTGAAACCATTAAGCATGAGTGGGATCTTGTGATTCTCTCACCTTTTATCCTTGTAACGATGTTAGTCTGTATTGGCAGCTTCATTGTGCTAGCATTTTATAGTGAATCTTGATGTTATGAAGCCAATTAAGGCATAAATTAAATCTCTTGTGCATTTTCTAGGTATGACCCTTCGACTGGTATCTATGGTATGGACTTCTATGTTGTTCTTGAACGAGCTGGGTACCGTGTTGGCCGTCGCCGCAGGTGCAAGTCACGTGTTGGTATTCAGCACAGAGTTACCAAGGAGGATGCAATGAAGTGGTTCCAGGTAAAATATGAAGGTGTCATCCTTAACAAGTCCCAAAATATTTCTTAGAAATAGCAGATACTGTATCGGTCTGATGGGGTTTTGAGTTTTAAGTAACTGATTTTGGCTGCTTACGTCCACCAGCTATTATTTTCTTGAACAGAATTATTTAGGTGTTATTTTGGGATCGTATGTACTTTTTCTGTTGGTTTAGTTTATTTTACTGATATAACATACAATCGGTAAAATGTTATCTATTCAAGTATTTTGTTTACTTCAGTTTACATGGAACGGGCACAAAATAATTGGCCCAGTAGATCCATTTCACCATTTCAAGGATGGACATTGTTCTGGTTTTTTTGGCCCATTACCGCAGGCGGCCAAATTATTTGGCCCAATAAGTCAGCTAAGAATTTATTCTGTAATTTACAGTAATTGTTACAATCTAGTAGAAACTCATCATATTGAGGTGATAAGTTCGGTAAAAAATATTTTTATTGTCTTAAGTTTGTGGTTCCCGTGTAGGTTATATATTTTCAGAGACGACGTGATGAGTCTTTTAGAAAGTTAATTTTTATTTTTTAAAATTCAGTAATTATTTAAAAAAACTAATCGTTTATAGTCGTGCAACGAGCTGCTACAACGGTTAGATTTTAATAGGCGAAATTCGTCATCTCGAGATGACGAGTTTGGTGAAACTTTTGAAAAATATAATTGTTTATAGTCGTTGGGTTTGAGGTTTTGAATTTTTATTGTGTATTGTTAAGCAAATAATTGAGAAAGCTCTTTTTTTTAGAATTCCTGAAAAATATCTACTCGAGATGAAATGTTACGTCTTGATTTTGTTCATATTTCTTCGGTCGAATTCGGTCCGGAAGAAGAATAGAGCATTCATCAACTAGGAATAACACTAAGAGATCTGCATTAGCGAATATCTACAACAATTGGGGCTCTCTCCAGTCACATTTCTGCATGGTTTTAAGGTGAATCCGATCTTGATTCGGATTATTTACTGCCGTAATTGTGGATCCAATACATGCACATTTATCATGTCTTCCCAGCATGGCTCGATACGCAATTTGCCTATGACAAACAGGTACATGTGGTTTGAAGACAGCTGCAGATTGGACAGAAATGAGAGTCGAATGTTAAGTCAGAAGTGGCACAAGGACACCTGGTAGCAGTTATAGGGTAAAGCTTGTCTTCACCTGCCATTGATTTCCATATTTGAAAACCTTTCACCAATTCCATGGGGGCATTAACATTTTCATTAAATGAACAAGATAAAGAAAGAGAGAATGAACAGAATCTACGTAAAACACAATCAAGGAACCAGTTGCTTGAAGAAGAAAAAGAATACATATTACTCATGAAAAAAATATCAACCGTTAAAACCATTAGCAGACCCTAAATCCACCTCAGGTTGCCCACAATATATGCAAAAAAAAATAATACACCAGTACCGTGATCCCTTTATTTCATAAATAAATCAAGTGTAAATCAATATCAATAATGGAAACTCCAATTTTCCCCTATTCCAGAGATGCAAGTAAAAGATGTTTTTTTCCTTCAACGACAACATTTTGCGATTAGAATCAAGAAAATAATGAGGAAAACTATTGAAGAAATACCAATTGCAAAACCAAGAACAACCTTACTTGGCCCGTGATGGTTGTCCTTGTTATTAGTTTTATCAGCTTCAGCATCACCAGTATAGTCACTCTCGCTATCTGAAGAAGAGTCCTTAGAAGGCGGCGGTGACATGGGCAATCCATGCTTATCACAACGAGCAACCCCAAGTTTCAGTTTCGATGACAAAACAGAATGATTGTAGCACAAATTGCTATTCCCACCCACCTTGAAAACAGCCAATCTCTTTATGAAACTAGCATTGAAAGGTAAAACTCCATGAAGCCCATTGTTCTCCAGATTCAACGCTTTCAACCCTTTCAACCCTGCCAAAAACTTCGGAACCGTTCCATTTAACTGGTTATTACTCAGATCGACATGAACCAACCCTGGAATAGCTGACATGGATTCCGGGATTGACCCAGACAACGCATTGGAAGCCAAAGATAGATTTTTCAACGATATCAAGTTACCAAAATCTGTGGGAATCTCCCCATTCAGCCCATTCGAAGAAAGATTCAATAATTCGAGATCTTCAAGAAGCGTAAGGGAAGCTGGTATCTTTCCTTTGAGGTTGTTATCGGATAAATCGATATGGATCAGATTCGGATGCAAGTGGCTAGAAATAGAACCGGTAAGATTAGCATGTGAAATGGCGAGTGTCTTCAGCTTATGCATGTTCCCGAGGATTACATAAACACCACTGGTGCTGACCGGAGTGTAAGAAACTGTGAGAACAGTGAGGTTAACGAAGCGCGAGAGCCAGACCCCAGAGAGACGCCGGAGAGATCGAATGCAGGAGAAGGAAGTGAGGGAAAGAGAGAGATCGGCAGGGAAGCGGACAGGTGATACGTGGCAGTCGGTGAAAGAAAGAGAACGGAGGGAAGAGAGGGACTTGAGAGCATTGAAGGAGAGGAAAAGGTCGGACGAACAGTTGGAGAGGTGGAGCGAAATGAGTTGGCGGAGGGGCTTGTAGTTGTCGCAGATGGTGGCATTGCGAGGGGAAGGTTGAACGCAAGGGTCTCTTGTGGTGGGGATGTGGAGGGATCGGAGTGTTTCTATTTGTTTAGGATCTAGTAGGGAAGAAGATGGAGCTTTGGTGGTGGGTGAGTTTGGGGAGGAAGTAGGGGCAGGAGTAGGGGACGCTGTAGACATTTTAGGGGTCGTTGGTTCAGTGGCGGCTGAGGTGACGGTGGCGGAGAGGAGAAAGAGGAGGTAGAACATTGGTGGCGGAGGTGGTTTCATGGTGGAGACAGAGTAAGAGAACCGTGAGCGGTCAGACGTGTAGTGTTGGGTTTGACAGTTTGGCCTGAATCTCGAGAAATCTAAACACCGTGTATTATGGTCATCAGGACAACGGTTTAATACGAGTATATATTTAATCTTTTAAGAAAACATTAGACATTAATGATTGATTCTTCTCTCTAATGATCTGTTGATTTTTATTTTTATTTGTTGACAAAACATTGTACAGGACAGCACGATGAGTAAACAAAGAACCACAATTTGAATGATGAAACAAAGCGTACACATTTAGCCTATGGAATTAGGGCATCAAAATTCGATTTGATTTAAAAATTTGTATTTTTAGTTTTTGAATTTTATTAAGTCGAGTTATTCAAGTTAACTCAAATTATCAACTCGATGTTTAAGTTCGAGTTAAACTGAAATTTGAAATTTCGAGTTATTCGAAAAAATATAATATTAAATAAATATTTTGACAGTTTTACGATTTAGTCCCTTGTTTCATTATTCCTTCAATTCTCCCATCATTTTAAGTCCATTTTTTAATCAAATTTGAACCACATACTCCTAAATCATCGTAAAATACATATGTACTTTCAATTCATCTTTTGTTAACAAATTTTTAATTTTTCAATTTAGTTCTTTATTTTTTTCATAATTTCCTTATTTCTTCATACGATTCTTTATTTTAAGTTCGTTTTTACCAAATTTGAATCGTATGCTCATATTCCACGATATAATACCTATGTAACTTTAATTCTTACCTTTTTACTAAAATTGTACTCTTTCTTTTTTTATTTAGTCCTTTAACTTTGCATTTTATTTAATCTGACCTTTTGACTACAATTGTTTACAAATTCTTTCTTCCCATCAATTTCTTGATTCTTTTATACTCTCATTAATATTTTACCCTCAAAATATTTTTTCAAAATATAATATTATAAATATATTTTTTAATTTTAAATTGTATTTGATATATTAAATAATATTATAATGTGAAAAAATATTATATATATATATATTATATGAGTTATAGAAAGTAAAAAATTGGAAAAAAATATTGCATGATAGTATAAATAATTATAATAAAATTAATATAAAAATCGAAAAACTCGAATCAACTCAAAAAAATCAAATTTAATTCGAGTTGTAAAATACATCTTGTTAATTTAAATAATTTAAAAAATTTTGACTCGATTCGATCGAATGTTAACCCGATACGGAGGACAGAATTCCCTGAATTGGGTAGTTCTACTATACGACAACCTTAATATACGGCTAAAGGAAGTCGCTACTGGAAATGTTAATATTTTTTAACATTTTTGATAAAAAATTACCTAAATCATTAATATTTTTTAACATTTCCGGTAAGGTGCAATATTAACATTTTCGGTCAAAAATAATGTTTTAAGTAACGTTTAACCGGACATGTTAAACATTTTGGTAAAATACCCAATAATAATATTCCCGGTATAAATAATAATATTCCCACGGTGGGCAATTCATAATTCTGACTACCGGAGGTCTCCCACGGAAGCTCTTCTCAACCTGGCGTTTGGGCAGTCTACTATCCTATCTCTTCCTTACCCCATTACATATAGAAATACGGTCAACTAATTTTTTATGTGATTTTTTTATCAAAAATATTAAAAAAATAATAATATTTTCGATAACGTATTTCCGTATATTAAGTACGACGCATCCTATACTTACCCGAATTCACCAGTTTCACATATACATATATTTTAGCATGGTTTTCAGAACCGGACCGGTCAGCGAACCGGCCGTGCTACCGGTTCACTGGTTTAACCGGTCGAACCTGTCAGACCGGTCGGAAGAATCGGACGACGTCATAATTAATTATTTAAAAAATTAAATAAAAATATATGTAACATTTAATAAAAACAGTTTTTTATATCACAAGTCAAAGCAAGTTATAACATATATAAGTTAAAAACCATAAAATTAAGTAAAACAAAATGATTCAAATCAACTACAACATAATATTTAAGGTAAAACATATTAAATAATAAATATAATTATATAACTATAATCAAAAAAATAAATTTGAGGCTAAAAAAATCATAACAAAAGATGTCGTTTGGTTTAATTTTTTTAAAAAAAAATCTCACATGGCTAAGAAACATAGTAGAACATCACAAAAGTCTAAAGAGTAAAAATATGAAAACAAAACAATCTCACATGGCTAAGAAACATAAAAGAGCATCTCAACTGACTTCTATAAATAATAGAGGTAATTTGACATTCAAAATCATGGAGCCTTTTGGTGAGCACAGAGCGAACTATTCTTTCACTTCAATCAAGTTCGAATTTCAGGCTTCAATCGAGCTTCTAATTTTTTTTTGAGTTCAAGCCTTTTTGAATTCAAGTTTCAATATTATATTTCAAGTTCGAGTTGAACTTGATAATTTTTAGCTCGTGAGTTTTTTAATCGAGTTGAGCTTATTTTTAAAGTTTTTACGTTCGACTCGACTCGTTTAACAAACGACGTCGTTTGATTTAATTTTTTTTAGAAAAAACAGAACTGGTTTTCAACCGGTTCACGCTCCGATCCGGTTTGAATGGTTCATAGCCGGTTCAACCGTTCCTTCCGGTTCACTTGTAGCGGTTTAATCGGTGTAGAATGAACCGGATCAGACAACGATTCCCGATTGAACCGGTTGAACCGGCCGATCCGATCTGATTTTCAAAACACTGTATTTTAGTAAAAAAGAGCTGCCAAATTCTTTTTCCAGATCAAATGATGTGAAAAAGAGAGACGTGTTAGCTAACAGCTACATTCCCAGGTCCCATGAAAACAATGTAAAAATTGAATCACATGCTCATGAGATTGTAATCAGTCCAACAAATCAAGGTCCCATTCATATTGGTTCAATGGCTTCCATCTTTACTTCAGTGTGTCTATATATATATATATACACACACACACTGTAGGGATCAGTAACTCAGCAATCAATGGAAATACAGTTCTGAGCTAAGGTTTTGGTGTCGACGGTGTTGACAAAAAGGTTGATTAGGACCCAGACAAGAGAGAAGACAGAGGCCAGCAATACTGACCCAGGAAAAACGATGGTTGAGATTATGTTCTGTCGACCCATGAGACCTTTGAGGAAAGGATAGAAATGGAGGATGACCCAAAATGAGAAGACGACATTCCCAAATAGTGGTCCCCAAGCATCATACCCTTTGTTCAGAGCATGGGAGAATCCAACCACACTCACCATGTTGACGATGAGAAGTGTTGTTGGGGGGATCAAAAGTGTTGTCCATTTCACAATGTACAACTCACTAAACTCTGTGTCTTTAGCTGCTTTGGATGTCACGGTAAAGTTGGTGTCAATCCCCGCCAGCATCTTCAGAAACCCTTGGAACACGGCAAACAGATGTGCCGAAACGCCTCCGATTACCCAGAAATGCTCGTTACGCCACAGGTCCTCGATGCTCACACCGCTTCATCGGAGCTCGAGCACGGCAGTCATGATGATGGAAAGGAAAAGACCAAGAAACAAAACGCTTACCAGGTTTGAGAGCAAGTGATCATCAATGTGAAGCAATGTAAGGTTGGGATATTTGACTTACCAGCATTAAGTAAACAAAAGGAGATATGGTTATTGAACAAGATAAATACCGTTGGTACGATAAATTTTCCTGTGAGAAGACAGATTGCTGGCAATGAACAATAAGCAACGAGAGGAAAAGATGTAAATGGATAAACAATAGTGTTGATATATGCAAGTATTTGAAGCCATTTAAGACGACTGCCTCCGAAGCCATACCATAGGGGGCAATTCCTTCTAAGGAAAATCTCCACCGATCCACCGAAAAACTTGTTGCAACCGATCAAACAAATTGACTGGTGCAGATCGATTGAATGCAGGCCTTAAGGACATGCAGTAAATTGATCTCCATCCTCGGCCGTGCATTTTGAAACCAGTTAGGATATCCTCGGTGACTGAACCGTATATCCATCCTATCTGAGCACACAAAAATAACAAGTTTTAGAATTTTCATTAATGCAACGATGAACGGGTTTGGATTGGACTTGTTAGAAATGCAAGAAATCAAGAAGAGTTGGCAGCATTTTCAATCTCATATTGATAAAAAAGATTGGATTCCAATTCCAACCTCTTTGCCCAATTCAGTCTTCTCTTCACAGCCACAGTTGATAACATGAATTACTTCACAACCTCCATTCTACATTAGTGTAGATTCAATGAATAAAGAGGATAAGCAGATATTAGAACAAAATAAAAGTAATTATTCAATAGTAAATTATATTTAAGGAAATTAATATTAAATTATTAAAATAAAATGTAAATACTGCAGACACAAAACCAGATATTAGACCAACAACCTTCTGAATGTTCTAATTTAGCATACTTGAAGTTTGGACAATATAAAAACACTAAACAAGCCCACCCAAAACTCATTGAGAGGCAATGAAATACAACATATGAAAGCTTAAACAAACGATAATGACATCCATTTGGGCAAATCTGAAACGGAATAAAACCTGAAAAACTATTCCGGCAAGAAGGTATTTCCAATTGTCAAGAAGAAGGTTGATCTCTATAGTTGTCTTTGAATAAATTCTCTTCCACAATTACAAAAACAGGGTACCCTAATTTAGCCGATGCAGTTTCATAAATAGATTTGTCACGGCATACGGCGTCGATAAGATTGATGGCAACAAGGATGGTGTGTGGCAGAGAAGATGTTGTACCAGAGAAGAATTTTAGGGAAGAAGAGCCAAGATAGGGAAGAAAATGTTCAAAAGAAATAGGGATCAGGTAGGGAGATATATTTATCCATTCGCTGCGTTTGAGGGAAAACACCACTAATGCACTTGTTTTTGCGGCGTTTTTTTTAACAAACGCCAGTAATGTACAATTATATTGTGGTGTTTTGTCAAACTTATAGCAGCGTTTTGAATATAAACGCCACTATATATTTAATCTATTGCCGCGTTTGTCTTATAAACGCCGCTATAGTACGATATTTTAGTGGCGTTTTTATAAAACGCCGCTAATGTTACTATTTTGTGGCGTTTGGGTTAAAAA